ACAAATATTCTGTATTTGCATGTCAAATTAATTATTATCGATACAAAAGTGCAAAAATAAACTTACATTCTCTTAGAAAAGTTGTCATAATACATCAAAAGTTTGGCACTCTTTTTGTTATTAGTAAGTCTAAGAGATGAAACGAGAGTCCAATTCAACAAAGTTTCAGTTATTTAAATCAGTGTTTCCCAACCGGGGTGCCGTCTGTCCAGAGCAGGGGTGTCGTGTAAAAAATCCTTTAATATTTTTAAATAGCTAAAATGTTCAAAAGAGCAGGTATATAATATCCATTTCTGATGTCGCCAATAATTAGAGATGCACCGAAATTTCGGCTGCCGAAAATGAGTTCACCGCTCAGGTTTCACTTTCACGTGGTGTGACGCTCTGCGTATTATCCCGCTCTATGTGTGAGTGTGCTCCGCTCAGCTCCACTCATATACCGTTCATGCTCATCGGAACAGCAACGTCCGCTCAAAAATCGAGCTGACCGGAAACATGGATGTAGTACAGTATTGTTTCTGTCTGCAATAGCCCTACTGTGTTGTAACATGGTGTGGTAAATTGGCAACTCTGGTAACGCTGCCCTCTCATTCATTGATCTGCTAACCGCTATGTTATGCTCGCGTGTTCTGATAATAATAGCTTTCTAGGACTAAACATTATTTGGATAATTGGTTAAAAAAACAATTTTTTTACTGTTAGACCTACCTGAAAAACTAAAAAGCTATTTATTTAATTCGAAGGCCTGTTGTAATTTTTTATTTGTGCTATCATTATTAATTTCTTTATTTGTTCTTATTTTAGTACTGACTGCTTACTTGTAATTTTTTATTCAATTCAAAGTTTGAAATCAAGCTATCTCGTGCTACTGCACCAAAATTACCCCACTGTAAAATAAAAAAAAACACTGAGTGAGCAAACATTTGTGAGATGGCTATTTAATGGTAATTAAATAATGTTTACATATGTATAAAAGCCTACATTAAAATCTGTCATATAAATTGGTCTCTTCATTAGAAATTAGCCTACTGGTTGCCACCATTGATGGACAAAAATGTTTAATAATATAAAAAATATCTGTATGACATTATATTCTGCAGTTCTTCCCTGTTGTACCGAATATCTATAGCCTACATTTCAAATTATCACATCGAAGTTAGAAATTCAAATATTGTGACAAAATTAATTTTGTAGGGTGCCAGAAGTTTGTTAAAATTTCCAAAGGGTGCCGCGACTAAAGAAAGGTTGGGAAACACTGATTTAAATAATTTAATATTTCTGTATTCAAAATTTTATTTTTAAAACATTAATCTCCACATTTAATTGCACTCATGAGCCTCTGAGCCTCATTAAACATCTGAAAATGTACCTACAAGCCACTTTTGTGTTCTTCTGTGCCACCTCTGTAGTACAAATAAATTTATTAATACTAATTTCATATGATTGGTAATTTATTTATCTTATTCTGCTTTTTATTATATTGTTTTAAATAGACATTTTAAAAAGCTTATAAACAATTTTTTTTTAATTTGACAAATTAAAATTATGCCATTACAAAGGTAAAAAGAAAATACCCCTGTAAGCCACTTTAAGGAGTCAAATGTCACCTCATATTAGGAAGGCAAATTTTTTTATCAGAAATTGATTATTGATCAGAAGGTGCTCCTAAATTTTTTAAATTAGGAGGACAGCTCCTAAAAAGAAAAGTAAGCATAGAGCCATGTATAACTGTATATTAGATCCGTGCATGAGGTCTTAAAGAGACAGCAGCCTAAATAAACCTCCTGCTGCCTTTCATTATACAGTAAAGACTAACCGGTGTTATTTTACAGTTGAATAGATTATAATTTAAAAAATTTATAAGAAAAAAAATGAAAGTACTGTTAATTTAATTTGTATCTTATTGTTTTTGTTTGTGCTATTGATTGTCATTAATTTATTTGTTCTTATTTTATTATTTAATATTTACGAGTGGAAGCTGAAGCCCGCTTCAGGACATCAGATACGATGTCAAATTAAATACGCCATCATTTTTACTCATAAAGGTAAGAATAATACATCGTTCGGAACTGTAAAGGGTCTTTTTATTTGTGTGCATTCACAATATCAAGAAAACAGTGTGCTTTTGTCAAATATAGAAAACTAATAGGATGTGCTTGCCATCTCTGTCTTGAACAGCAGCGCTTCACAAAAAACACACCGAAACTCAGTGAATATTTTCCTTACAGACTTGATGAATATATCTATAGAAAGCGTTAAATGACTACAAAAGGAACTAATTAAAATCCAAAACCTCTTATGTAATCTGTAAAGATGCATTTCTTTCAAAAGACGCGTCCAATGATGAGATGGCGAGTCAGGATCATCAACTTCATAGCGACACTGACTCATAAAACTCTAATTTATTAATAAATAATTCAAATATCTACTTACTATTTTCCCCCAACATAGTCATGGTAATTTTTGTGGTAAGCTTTAGCCTATTTAGCGTGCTCATGTCACGGTGCTGTGCGCCATGGTCATGAAAACTCATCATTTGCATGTGTTTTTAAGCATTGTGGTTTAAAAACAAGTTATTTAAGCCATTGAAACGCAAATATCAAGTCAAGTCTGCTTTATTGTCAATTCTTCCACATGTACAGCACATACACACAGAGAATTGAAATTGCGTTACTCTCAGACCCTTGGGTGCAGGCTCTGGCTCTTCTCAGTTTGCGGAGGAAGTAGAGACGCATATAACAGCACTCATATGCGCGAGCTGTCTGTTTCTGAGCGTGATTTCTGCAATTGGATCGGCTCAAGGTCGGGTCATATTCACACCTTAAACGAACCGTACCAGAGTTTGTTCTAATTTATTAATAAATAATTCAAATATCTACTTACTATTTTCCCCCAACATAGTCATGGTAATTTTTGTGGTAAGCTTTAGCCTATTTAGCGTGCTCATGTCACGGTGCTGTGCGCCATGGTCATGAAAACTCATCATTTGCATGTGTTTTTTTTGGGCCCTGTCTCTGCCATCTGACAAAAAAACTCTCAGAATGTGTCGATGCAAATTCTGTGAACCTAGGTGTGTATTTTAAATTAAAATATTAATGAAGCTTTAACTTCATCTGTGTGTATATGTGTACACTCATTTTTTTTTTTTTTTTTGTATCTGATCTTTACTTTTTATAGTGGTGTCCAGCAGCGCAATGAGATTGTATCCAATCTGATCTCCAGCAAAAAGTTCTTTTGTCATAGTAATAAACATGTTCTTTCCATGGACTACCTGCCGACTATGCGCTCAATCTGCAGAGCTGAGAAAGTTAAAGAACAGTGCTCTTTAAGGTATTTTGAAAGGAAACTTCTAATGCTTCTTAAAAAAAAATTATATACAGTAATTCTTTGATATTTGTTCAATTTATGTGATTTAAATACTTTTATGCTTTTTTTTTTTTTTTTTCTTGTGTCTCTCACATTCAGACATTCACACTATCTCTCAAGCCTTCACCTGCCCAGAAGCTTGCTGGAATTCATGGCCTTGGATTTCCCTTGATGTGTGATTGACATGCTGCTTTAGAAAATCCTCCATGACTTCTAAACTGTTTACTGTATTGTGGCATGAGTGTGACTTGTGTTTGTAGATTGTAGAGTCACAGAAATATATTTGTACGATCGATCATTTATTCTTGGAAAATAAAGAAATTTATTTTTCTAATTAGCAGTGGGAATTTGCACCATTACCTCAAACAGTATAATGACATTCTCGTTAAGCATTTCAGTACCACTCATACTATCTATATACAGTGGCACCAAAAAGACACTTAAAGTCCCCATGAAATCAAAATTAAAGTTTTTTTGGGTGTTAGTATCAATATGTTAGTCTCAAGATTATCTATAAGGCAGTGTGCTCCAAAACAGTGACAAAATTCGCATTTAGAAGCGTTCAAAGCTTGCAGTTTGTGGAAAAAAATGATTTTTTTTTTGACGTCACATGTACTTCAGCTTCTCATCAAACTTTGTCCAATCAAATGCTCTCTAGAATCCGAAGCGCCGATACCGATTCGATACTTCTGAACTAAACTTTTAAATTATGAAATTTATTAAATTACTAAGAGTAAAATGGGTAATGATAAGCACTTTACACAACTTTGTTTAAAACACATTTTTAACATTCAATACACCATAATTGTAACTTATTAGGTTATATTTTTGTTTACACATGGATCAAATATGTTTTTTGTTTACACATGATTCAAATCTATAAATACTATAGTTAAACTACAGTCACTTTTTAGTAAAACCATGGTTCATTTTCATAAGGGACTGCCAGTAACAGGCTGTTACGTGCATAAAATGCAACCTTTTTATTCTATTAACATTACAGAATAGAACATGATAAATATTATCTTTCAACGTTCAATTTAAATAACTGTAATTGCACAAACTATGTAGGCTACAATTTCAGTTTGTTTATTGTGAAATAACTCTGTCCTTCTGTCCTCTGATAAGCATTGTTCAGGGCTGCTGTTCCCAAAAGCTTTAATGCTTTCTTTATGATACTTTTGGGAAAATCAGCCCTGTTTGAATGCACTGTCAGCAGTGAGTGAACGCTCTCTGTGATTGATTAGTTCTGTCTTGCAACATTTGCGTGTTCAGCTGAGCAGGAAAATAGTTCTATCCTACACAATTACTCGCTAACAAAGGTTATTCGTCCAATTCAATGCATATTGTACGCATTATTATTTTTTAGTTAAACAAAATCACTGGTAAATAAAACACACCTTAGTATC